GTGGCTGTTGTGGTTTTTCTAAGCAAATGTTACGTTCCGTAGTTTGCCACTTCACTCAACGGTCAGCTAGGGGTACCACTGTCGAGACTAACACAACACGTTCTGATTTTTTTATTTTTTAAATTATATAGACCCAAAAATATGATGACTGATTCAATGAAGAGGGGAACAAATTACCACGTTCAACCAGCTCCCTTATCAAAAGGGCTTTTGGTTATAATTGTTGACTTGATGACCGTGCCTTGCACTGAAGTTTGTAGTAAACTGTCTTTGTGTGTGAAAATATTAAAATTGTTCATAGATGCTTTATTCAATGATATATTGGAGTCATCCAACATCTCGAACTTGTTTGCTCTGACCTTCGGACTGAGTAATTCAAATAACCTTCAGGACTTAAATTAAATGTATGACTCACTTAAGAAAGTTCATTTTAAATCGGTGATGGCTGTTATGATGGTAATCAACAATGCATCGCTTTCCTTTAAGTGATTAGTGATTAGCACGGATATTCATCCCGGCCATCTGGACAGATCCATTGGTGGTCCGATCTCCTCCTCAAAAGCTCCGCAAGTGTAAAACGACTGATGACGCTTGTCCTGTGTTGATTAAAGAAACGTCTTGTCCCCTTAGGAAAATATTCATTTCTTGCAGCTTCAGGCTCCACCCCATCGCAGGGAACTTCGTGATCTCGAGGCATGGTGTCCGCCTCGAGTGCTAGAGGTCACGGTTTCAAGCCCCGGTAAAGGCTAAGATCTTTTTACGTGGACTTCTAGCAATTTCCTCTGGTCTCCTAGTAGTAAGACCGGACGCCCGTGTGTATTGTTGCGCACGTAAAAAATCTCTTGGCAGATGTAAATGGAAAAGAGTAGCCTAACAGAGCTACCCGGTCAAAATTTGCAGTTAAAATCTTCCCAAAAACGTATTTCAGGATCCTAGTCGGTGCAGCAGAGTCCGGGCACTGCGGTGAGATTCTTTAGACTCAGGATTGAGTTAGAAGAAGAACGGAGCACTGATGGGTTGCATGAATGTGCCATGATGTTGATCCGTTGAATAAACAAACAAACACTATCTCCATCATCAGCCTAGATAGAGATACGCAGTCATGTCCTTCGGCATGCTCGACGTCACATGCATGGCATTGATAACATCTTACTCTTGATGATATCTAATGATGACGAGTACGCAGACAGAGTCAATACGTCACCTATTGAATGCCGATGGATCTGTACAAATAAGATTTAGCTCCATATACCTGATAGGTAACGACTAACTACCGAATTCCCAGGGTGGGTTCCTGGGCCACAATGTGTGGCGGAAAAAAATCTCACCGTCTCCCTAACAAGTCTCATTAGGGGTTTCATTCGAAGTCGAAGTGAATCTGACTGAAACGTAAAAAACCAACAGTCTGTTTAGAAGTAATTCAGATCTGTAAAACGGATGGAACAAAAACTAAATCCAAAAGTGGAGAACAACCAGAACTTTTCCCCGGAGTTTACGGCCAGTCAACGCAAGGCAGCAGCAGAAGAAAAATGACCCCATAGGTCATTCAGCTGTCAATTTACTATTACTCACCATATTAACAATCCTGTTTGCCAATTTTGTCGTGTCTCCAATATGACTGTTACAACACCAATAAGTGGCGACCTCAGTTTGTCAGACATCACCAAAGCTTGTCTGCACGACCGTGGCCGACAGAAGACGTCCGGGCAAACAATCTACACTGGTTGAGTTTTCGTCTAGCGCAGCGGACCTCGACATTTGTGGGTCAAACAACCCTTTCCCAAGGGTCGCATAAGACCATCAGAAAACAACTACTGATTGAAGTAATGAAGAAGCAATGAAAATAACTGTATGGCTTGGGGTCGCCACAACACAAGGAAATGTATTAAAGGGTCGCCACATCATGAGGAACTATTAAAGGGTCGCAATATTAGGAAGTTTGAGAACCACTAGTCTAGAGTTAAATTCTGTACACGGTGACACCGGTATGTCTGGTCTCAGACTTCCGACCTTCTGCCTTTTAACGGGATTATTGATTCTCGGAGCCAGAAGTTGTTCCTTGGATTTTCTTAATTTGTTTTTATACCCCTGACTCTAGCGTCGTCCGAAAGGTACCCTGACACGCTAGTGGCACAATGAGCATATGCGGATAGATGCATATTTGTATAGACTAATGTGCCGTCTTTACTTTTCAAGACTTTGAATATTAGCCATTTAACGGGGTTCGACCTGGGCGCCATGGTCATTTATTAAAAAAGAATACGTCTCCGTGCGGATTCGAATCCACGACCTTCGGATCTGCGTCTAGCAGCTAGACCACGACGGCTCCCTGTAGCCTCGGTAACCTATGTTTAACATAATGATCCATACAGCTAGTTTTAACCTACGCAATGTATGTTTACGGTATTGTTCTATGCCAGATTTTCCAACCTCGGTAACATATCGGTGATAAATTACTGTGTACAGCTGGTTCTTAACTGGTCTGTCTCTTAACTGGTAAACCATGTGTGTGTTTGTATGTGTTTATGTGTATTCTGACGGAATTATTTTCTAAATTCAAAGATGACCTTGGTTTCTGGGTTGACCCAGCCTTAAATGGGTGCCAGGTAAAATCCTGGGAAGTAAAGGCGGCCGGCGCAATGTTGACCACATCCCCCAGTGAGTGCCGATTGTTCTATACTTTACAAGTCTAGCCTTATATGTTCAATAAGTCTGAAGGTGTGAAACTGGGTCCTTTACTTTATAAATGTCTATTGAATATAATTTTGGCGAAAAATGTATATTATTTATATGTGGCTTCATTCGACCATAGGGAGCCATGTCTATTGAATATAATTTTGGCGAATAATGTATATTATTTATATGTGGCTTCATTCGACCATAGGGAGCCGGGATAGAGCATTGGTCACACTCTTGCTTCCTTGACACAGATGACAACCGTGAACTGATTCGAGATGTTTGAATGGACTGTCTGTGGTTGTTAGATATAGTGTGAGAAGTGTTTGTTCTGGCCCTTTTCTATTCAGGTCGCTATCTGAAGGTAGGACACCCTGAGATTTCTGGATCGCAGATAAACACTGCCAACATACTCCGTTCAACCTGAAAAGAAGAGTTATTTTTGTTCTTTATCGTTTATCATAGTGACTGAATTTGCGGTGCGCCTATTTACAGCATAGCTACGATTTGTGCGTCTATAGGCCGACTACACCACCCTAGTGTAAACTACAGTCCTGTACGGGTAACGATCTACCTATTGTATGAGAGGTAATACTTGAGTCATCATCATCATCATCATTCCTTCTGCTAATAAGCATCGCGACGAGGAACGGTTTGCGATTTATTTCTAGATCGGCAGCAATAGCTGTTATCATGCCGTGCCTATGTAGACGTTCTTTAATGTCGTCAGTCCATGCTTTCTTAGGACGACCTCGCGCTTTAACGCCAGGTCTTTTCACTTGTAGCGCATGCTTTTGTAGTTATTCTGGCTGAATTCTTACTAGATGACCGACCCATCTAATTTATTTTCTGTTTCTCAAATAATTTGCTACATGTTGTTGTTCCCACCGTCTGCTGGTTATAAAAGTTCTAACTGTGTTTCGGATAGTTTAGTTAGCGACTCTTTTCATGTATCTCATTTCGCCGATGTACATTCTCCAGTGGTTAGTGAAAACTGTCAAGACTAATAGGAACAGGACAAATGGCGTGGGGCATGCTAAGTAGCTGTGTGGTTGTATCACGCTGATAAGCGCAATGACCTGATCTATCATTCTTGTGACCATGTGGGATTCTGAACTATGACATCCCACGCTCATCGACAGGGCACGTTATGACAATGATGAGCCAATCTATTTCACTTTTGGCTCGTCTGTATAATTAGATGTAACTTTCTTTGTCATGTAGCTAACATTTATTGCAGTCAGCGTGGTAGTGAATTGTAAAAACACCCGCAGCAAAGTCAATTTTATTACCACAATAAACTCTGATCTTCATTTGTTCTGTCCCCAGGTACATAGCCTGGAATGTAAGACTACAGCTGGTGTAAGCCCTGCGACCAGAGAGAGAGACAAGTCACAAATAATGCAGACTACAAAAAGTTGACATTACAAAGCTACTTAACAGACATTAACGGACTTGAGAAACCAGAAAAACAGTGGTTACCAGTTTGTTGGAATTTGTTAAAAATCGTCAGTTTATAGCAGTTCTTATTGTTGTTTTCATGACTATCTGAGCTGGAGTCCGCTAGGATTTTGACAGATTTTTAAAACCTGCTGGGAATTTTATCCGCTAATGTACGCAAACTGATTTCGGAACACAATTTAGTAGGCCGAAGAAAGTTGGCTGTCTCATCAAGAAGTCGTACAGAGGAAAGGAAGTACTAATTACGTGACCTTGTCAGCTTCGCGTACTCAGAAATTATTGTGCTTTAATACTTTCCCTAAAGTTTAGGTTTATATATGCCAGATTGCTTTCTCAAACAAGAATCAGCTGTCAAGATCTCAGGACAGCAACGCTCAAACGACCAATCACAGTGCAGAGATTGTAAGCAAGGAGAACTCAAGTTCAGTTAACTACTCTCAACGCACAGTCATTTTCTAAACATACATCTGTCATTTAAAGTTAGCTGGATTACTATTTTCAGACCATTGCAAACCAACCATTAAAATTTGTTGGCTGTTTGTAAGTGGTTTTATAAGTCAATTTTTAGGTTCACTGGTATTCCAGTGTCTCCTAACGGTACTGCATTTACATCGTTGTCAGAATTTATGTAAAGTGGTTTCCTGTCTAATTTCCCGATACCTGAATTTGTCCTCCTGGTATTTCCAGATTGTAAACCCTAATTCACAAGCAGAAGTCTAAGACAACATATATATTCACATAGTGATCATTTATTCAGTTATTAACTGAACTGCTTCAAATTAGCTGTGGATGGGATCCTTTTACTTAAGCTTACAATTGTGTGATTTCTTGAAACAATGAAGTCGGCTGTGACAACGAACAACATGGAGGTAAACATAATTTCGACGGATACTTCGGCAGTGTCCAACAATGTCAACAAGTTAGACAATAAAAACGACACTTGTGTAGATGGCATAGAACTCGACAAGCGCAACAATGACACCCAGTGGGTGGAGAGCACTACTGTACACATGCGGGATGAGAGAATATCTTTCTGGAAACTGTTCTTGGACAACTGGATTTATGTGGTTACGTATTGCAGCGTTTTTGGGAGTTTTGGAGTCTGTGTGGGATTTCTGGGACCTACCGTGTTCGACCTGGGCTGTCAAACGCATTCAGACCTCAAGCAGATGAACTGGGTCTTTTTTGTTCAGCTGATAATGACCCTTGTCGGATCCATCTCAGCTGGCTGCATGGCTGATCGGTGAGTATACATGTTTATAAAAATCTTTCTCCACCACTCGATCTTTTCTCTGTCTCTTTTCCTGCATTTTTATCTGCGTCTTCAATCTTTCTCTTCCTCCCACTCTCCGTCTCTCCAATTCGCTTCCCCCGCTCCGACTCCCTTTTCACAACCCAATACAACCAGCAACGTAAACTTCAGCAACCTGGTGATGGTAACCTCGCTAATGTCCCAGCAATGATGTTTGTTTGCTTGGACCCGGCCTGCCATTCATACCGCAGCCAGCTCCCAGCACACCTCACTCAATGGACTCATTCCCAGAATGCGCCAGCAGATGACAATGTGTAACATTCATGAAAAGGGCTTCAGTCATTGACACAATCACTATAATCAAGCTTCCTGTGGGCTTTTGTTTGAAGATCAATTTAGTTTTGGCTTCCAAACCTTTGACGCCAGTTCTACTGTTGTTTGTTCATTACATGATTGGGGAAGATCGATAACACCAAATAATGCTACCAGTGCGGGTATGACTGCATTAGAGTGTGTCAAGGAACAATCTGCAGGAAGAACGCCAATACTCGTTGGCTTATTCTGTAACGTTATTTGACGTGTTTAAACATACACACACTCACACGCACGCGCGCGCGAATAAATATACACGTTCTTTAAAAACTCGAATTGAAACTTGAGCTGGTGTAGGAAATATAATAGCCAAAAAATAATAATAATAATAATAATAACAATAAATAATAATAATAATAACAATAAGTGTAAAATATATTGCCGTCAACAAAATATAAGGAAAAATGTAAAAGTGGGGAAGGGTTTAAGGGTCGAGGGGGTGGGAGAGTGGGAGAGGGGGGGGTATGGAGAAGGTGGGGGGGGGGTATTGGAGAAGGTGGGGAGGGGGGGGGTATGGAGAAGGTGTCCTAGTCTAAGCGTTTTCCCTGAAATGTCTGTGAAAATGCATTGTTTCTCTTTATGCTACCTATACAGTTTGGTATGTGTTCTCTCAGTGTAACTTCGTCTCTTCTGATGGATTAATAACATTAGAATTAAGTGAAATCAGAAAGAAAAAAAAAAACCTTTCCAAATGTTATTTTCTTTATATAGTAATAAAATCCGTATTTCAGTATTTTTGTGACATAACAAAATCCCCCCCCCCCCCCCCCCCCCAAAAAAAAAAATCGCAAGCTCAAGAAGCAATCATTTGAAAAACACATAAAACATTTGAAATGGGGAAACCAAATAGCTTTTGTGTGAACATGCTGCAGATAGCCCTTTTACAACAAGAAGAACTGAGATCATAAAAGTTAAAATCAACACAACAAATATGGAAGTGACTAACCAAGAATTGCAGAGAATTTACAGAATCTGCAGTTTTTAGATTATGTGATAACCTGAACAGATGAACGACCGTACTAACCATTACAAATATGTACATTGTTATAACAAATAAAAATTTTAAAAAATAACAACAGCAAGCTACATAAATATGTCAGCGTCTTTGTCTTAGTCATTGCGAATGCGCTTCGTAATGCCGGGGTACCGGGTTCGATCCCAACTGCGGACGGTTTGTTTTGCGTTACTTTCGATAGTTGTACCGAGATCTGAAACGATGGCAAACTACTGAAGGTAAAATTTGCATAGAAAAACTAAGAAAGCCAACGAATTCTGGGGTTGGTTCTGCAGCGTCCTGTAAAGGATACGCAACAACTAACACAAATTATTATCAGAGTCAGGAAGAAAGCAATAACTCACTCTAAAGCTTCGTTTTGTTTTATTAACGGTTCCTGAATGAAAATTAATCAGCAGCTAAGCCTCGAAAAAAACACCGTTAAATCGGCACAATACAGATGGAGAAAAATGAAAGTCGAGAGGATCGACTGACTGACTGACTGACTTTCTACCCCACCAGGACATCACACAAGCGATAAACACCCGATGACACAAAGCGCCACCATGCGGATGAGGATCACCGTGGATAGGTCCCAGAAACCGCGTTCAGACGATTGGCCATATTGATGGTCTGCCTATATTGCGGCCCCTGGCAAAAGCCAGAGTAGGGCTTCAAAAAACAAAAAATTACGTCCTAAGAAGGACGTAAGAAATACCGAGGATCGACTTCGTTGCACCGGGTTTTATTTCGTATGGCTTCGTTTCTCTCCGCAAAGCGAGAGAGACAGGTACAGCAGCGGAGAAGATCTTCACTAGAGGTTGGAACAAGAGTTGGAAGTTCTTGACTGAATTCAATAATGGCGAAATCAGCATTATGTGTCGAAGGAAGACGTGAGATTTGTTAGTTACGTAAGTTTTCATTTTCTTTGTTCACAGCCTGTAAACTCTTACGGAAAGACCTGACTGTTCGTCCATTAGGTCTTTGGCTTTGTGCCAGGGCTGGGAATTTGCGTGTGCATTCGTTTTACTGACTTATGTGTGTGCAGTTGGTTGTTCCTTGCCGCTCGGGCAGGTGCATTCCTACTTCAAAAGAAGTTTAAAATTATCCTACCCTCTACGGCATGCTTCTCGGAAAGGAAATGGGTCCATTATTGTTTTCCCCATAACAGGGTGCTAAAACCCACATGGGCAAATTACGAACAATAGTGGGAAACATTTGCATTCAATACAAAGGAGGAAGTACTGAGAAATATTAAAGTCAACTTATATGTTGAAAATTATTTAAGTGGGTATGAGTACCAACATCACAGCACTTGACGCATTCCTATACGCGCTCCGTTCTCAGCTTCAGCAGCTAGTGCAAAGTTCCAATTCCAATCGTACCAAGATACTGAACTGCACCCCCCCCCCCTTCCCCCACTTTCCCTCATTGTATGTCCGTTTTGCTTTTTCCTTTGTGTGCAAAGTGTCGACCAAATTATCTGGTCACTTTCTGCCTCACCATAATCTTCCGTAATGGTTAGTCACTGCTCGCTTCCGGGAAAGTAAAGGCGGCCAGCGTGATGCTGACCACAACACCCATCTTGTGCCGATTGGTCTATAAAAAAGATAGGTCTAGCCCTATATGCCCTATACGCCAAATGGCGTGGAAAAGGGTCCTTTACTTTTTTTACTTACTTACTTATCGCTTCCGCATTGTTCATTTGCTCCCAAAGGGCCATGACTACGTCTACTAAAATTATGTGGGAATATTATAGTGTTTTAGCGGCCACGATAATTTTAAAGAAAACGAAAACGATCTTTCTGAATTGATTGCGGTTCTCACTAAAAGCATCCGAGCTAAGACCTAGTAATTTACCTGACCACCAGCAATTGACAAGTATTCGACTCATGCCTCACAATGGCAAAACGAGCAAAACCATAATCATCTCACGCTGATCCCCCGCTCAACGGCTTCACAGAGAAAAATGCCAGCGAAATCAATACACTTACAGGCAAGCCTGGCCTCACTTGCAATCGTCATCTCTTGCGTTCATATCGTGAGAGTGCATCTAAGTGACAGACTCACGGGGGAATCCCTGGTGTGTCGTATTTCTGGCTGCACTGACGCAGTTGTCAGCCTGCTGTCATTGCCAACTGTTCAGTTTCAATGGGTGATAATAGATGAGTCAGCTGACTCTGCATTTACCGATGGCATCGCTAAACAGTTATAGATGCAACGTGAATGTTTCCAGGTAATTAACAGAAAGCAATGGCTGAGAGAAATTGCGAAGTTGTTAAAAAGTGTAGCCGGCGAAATTATTATCAATAATGCACAAAGATTACTCTGCTGTTTTCGTTTGTTGGTTTAACAAATTAGATTACGTTCTGTTTGACCTTGTGAGCTCTCATGATGAGGTCCGACCACTTTTTTTTTTTTTCCAATTCAATACGTGTCATGCTGCTTCATGTTTAGCTCCGTGCGAGTAAGAGAGAAAGATGAAATAACTAAAAAAATATCAGTGTTATATATTGATAAAGCGGCCAGTAACCTGATTATCTAGATATGAAAAACAAGTATAGTAGACACTCTTCCGTTGTCAAGGGCACCGACGCAAAGAATACGAGAGGTGGTTTGGGTGGCGAGGGGTGGGAATTCTCTCTCACAAGTGTCTGGGGTGAGGAGGGCCTAAGCCTAACTTGAATGCATAATAATAATACTAATAAGGATGATTATGATCATCATAATCATCATCATCATCATCGTCATGTGCTGAATGGCAAATAAATAAAATAAAATATATGAAATAAGAGGAAATGTTAAAAAAAAAAAGACTCGAAAAGCGAATGTCTGTACATTGTTAGGGTTGTCATTTAGCTGTCATATACATTTTTTTAGGAAGAATATAACGCTCACCCCTATCCCCCCCCCCACCACTTTCCCCACCCAAATCCATCGTTTTTCTGTGGGAATGGGAGTGGATGCTCCTTTCTGTACAACTGAAGTGTCAGAACTCTGGGATTGAAATGATTGATTCTGACTGTAATCCGTTTTAGCTTCAAGCTGAAGTGTTTGCTTTCTAGATGGCATTAGGGGAGTGTACAAAAAAATAAATAAAAGGTGACGTAACGAAATGCAACAGAATCAGTACAAAGTCCTGCCGAGGTCGAGCCAAACGGGCTTTCCCCCGTCCCCTCTAGATTCGCACTGTGTAACCTTACAGTCACATGTCATAAATGTATCGTGACACCACAAAACGGTTACTTTTGTTGTAGTCACATGTGAATGTATTGTTAGGATACCTGTGAGATAGATGTTCACGATATCCCCCTTTCAGTAGCGATTGGTCTATAAAACATTGATAGACTCTAGCCAGTGGTCCGTTATTGGTCATTTACTCTGTTCCATGCCTCGGGAAATTCAGAATGGAAGGCTGTGTCATGAGCCACTACAGCTTGCAGTGCCTCTTGTGAAGGTCTTTTGTCTCAGTTCTTCAATGTTAAACGGAAGTAAGGTCGTGGTGTGCATCAGGAAATCACAGATGGAGGAAATAAATGACTGCTTGGTGCATGATGACACGTTTCTTGATATAACTTCATGATAACGGTTGTTGCGAATACATGTTTATTGCAGCTACTGTAAT